ATTAATCTTGATCTGTTTTTTTTTAATTGAGGTTTTGTCCTGTTCCAAATAATTTGTATTTAATGATGTTCCAATATCTTCAAGAGCTTTATCTGCTTTGGAAGAAGACTGGTTTTCTATATCATTATTTCGTGTTCTATTAATATTTTCTTTTTCATTCGATAATTCATTCTCTATAACTGCTTTTCTTTTTTGGAGCATTAATATATTGCAGTTATTACTGTCAGAATGTATAGAAGTATCAATCTGTTTCTTTTGAAATGGAATTTTGTTCTGTTCATTAGAATTTATCATTACATTTTCATACTCATGTAAGAATTCCACTTGCATATCATCCTACAAATAAATATTATATTTAATTTAAAGTAACCGTTATTAGATACTTTTATAAAGTACATAAACGTATATACAATTCTTATATTTTAATTTTAATTAAGATATAATACCTATGTGACAGATGCATTTGATATCTACCTTATCTAATAAATTTATATAAATAATAAAAGAAATATCAAAAATGTTAATATCTTTTTGTTAAATCTTACTTCTGAATCTATCAATATATTTATATTAGATTCTTCCACATCAGGATGTCCATAAATACTAGTGGAACTCATTATATTGAGAACCTGTTCTTCTTGTTCTGTTAAAACTTCTGCATTTTGTTCACCACCTCCTGTTGTTGCTCTAGATTGCTTTATAAGAATATGTTTCTTTTTAATTCGTGATTGGAAATCATGCCAGCACTAAAAGCATTTTTCATTAATTATGAGAGATTAAATTAAAACTACAGTTATATATATTAGTGTCGAGACACTACCATGTCTTCAGATTATTACTATTCATTTATTATAATTAACTAATTAAGTAAGAAGTAAAACAATGATAAAGAGATCTGCTTATTTTCCTAAATACAAAGTTTTCTAATAAGACTATTTCCTATGTTCTTCTTAAGTAATAATACCTATCAAATATAGTTTTATTTTATTAATATAAAAATAACTTACTTTACGCCAATCTTTCCATTCTTTTTTAGCTCCATTAATGGAATTAAAAATTTCACTTATTTCATTCCACAAGCGTATGGAATCTTTCAAAGTAAACGAAGAAGTTAATTTTCCTTTTACTAATTCAGGGTGCTTGTTCATGTACTCTATTAAAAGCGTTTTTTGCTCACTCGTAATATTTGCACCTCTCTTTTTTTTGTGTAAGTTATCCATCTACAATGTAGAACAAAATCTATATAAGTGATAATATTACATCTCTCATTAGTAGTAAAACAAAGACAATTTTTAAAGTAGACAAAAAATTTGAAAATACATTTTTGTTAAATTTTATTTTTCAGAAATTATTTAATATGTTGCACATATTTCTAATTTTAGAAAATATTTATATTTATAAGAATAAGAAAAAATATATTAAAAATAACAAATAAAATTTTCCTGTTAACTCTAACCTACACATTATGCATCTCAATAATACATCTTTTGTTGGAATAAAAATAGTATACATATATGCTAAAAAAATTTTTTTTAAATTAATATAAACATTTTTATATTATACATACACTTTTTCTTTACGTTTTATTAATTAATATATATAT